TTGCTCCTGTTGCTTCTTAAAAAATCTAGCTGCTACTGTTGCTCCTGTTGCTTCTTAAAAAATCTAGCTGCTACTGTTGCTCCTGCTGATTATGTTACTGTTGCTCCTGTTGCTTCTAGCTGCTACTGCTGCTCTTGCTGCTTCTGTTACTGTTGCTACTGTTGCTTCTAGCTGCTACTGTTGCTCCTGCTGATTCTGCTACTGTTGCTCCTGCTGCTTCTGCTACTGTTGCTCCTGATGCATCTGCGACTGTCGTTGTTGTTGTTCTTGTTACTGTTGGTCCTGCTGCTGTTGCTGCTAATTATGATAAGGATGATGATGATGATGATGATGATGATGATAATGATGATTATGATTATGATTATTATTATGGTGGTGGTGCTGTCACTATTTGTGCTACTCCTGTCTCTGCTGCTTCCGCTCCGGATACAGTGCTTACTCACAGCTCCGATCAGTAAGGTGCAGTAGCATTGAGTAGTACTTTCTTTTGTTAAGGAAAATTCAGCTATACGAAATGTAACGTGGGTACAACATAGAAATATGACTCCTTTCGTTGAGCCAACTTTGCTGACACATTGTGGACTTGCTGCGCATTTGTGTGTTTGCGTGCGTGCGTGCGCGTGTGTGCGTGCGTGCGCGTGTGTGCGTGCGTGCGCGTGTGTGCGCCCGTAGTTTGGGATGTGCTAGTGGTCTGTGTCGCCGCGCGGCATGCGTCGTTCGAGTGGTGTGTTGTGTGTGTGTGTTGTTCGTGTGTTGTGTGTGAGTGTGTGTGTGTGAGGTGTGTGCGTGCGTGCGTGGCGTGCGTGCGTGCTGGGTGGATGCGATCGTGCGTGCGTGTGTCGCTGTGCGTTGCAGTGCTTATATGTGTGTTATGGACGACGAGAAGGCGTGAGGAGGAGGAGACAGAATGGCAGCAATATGAAGCGAGTGTGCGATATGTTGCGTGCACATATGTCGGGATGATTATATTTTCGCTTACGTCCAATAGTGGTCTGATCTGGGTGCCGGTGACGGCGAGAGGGAGGGGTTCAGATGATTTTTATTGACGTGTCATTAGAAAGATTTATATTCTATGGAGTGCAGCTTTATAATGCTGTCGGTAGAACACTGGCTCGGGGTAACCGATCCGGCATTTTCTTCTTTTGGAGTTGATCGCGCGTCGTGCATTTCAAACGGGTTCTTAGTTTACGAATCCATGAATCTGTTGTGGTGAATTTCTGCGGAATCTGCATTCAATGTCAGAAATCGATCGTTATCGCGCACGAGATTTAAAAAAGGCTCAACTGTAACCATGGCACACATATTTTCGACTGGGTACGTTTTTGTCCCTAATGAAACTCTGTAAAACGTGCACCTGCTTGTTTACTTACCCAATTTCGTTACTCCCAACACCGAGACTTTAATGTGGGCATGAGCAACCAAGCAGCTCAACAGGCGCGTCTCTGCATGCACCGAAGACGGAATCATCTGCCATGCGTGAACGGCAGCGTATCAAGGCCAGCAAGCTGTGGTGTTCACGCTCGCTTTGCGATGATACTGCGCTCATGCTGCAGTTTCGTTAGTTACTCCAGTTGTACAGTCTCTGTCCACGAAATTGCTGACCGCCTTATTCGGCATGTAATTTGTACTTCAAATTTGCCACTGAAATGAGCAGCATCGCTTATTCCGTTCGGTAGCACTTAGATTTT